GTCCGATGGGTCGGCGGCCGCGGCGCCCAGTCCCAGAAGCAGTGCAAGAAATCCTCCTTCGCCTTCTACCAGGCGGTGAGGGACCTGCTGCCCGTCTGGTTCCTGGAGGACATGCGGACCATGGAGGTCTTCCACTGGGAGGACGGGGGCAAGGTGAGCGTGTACTCACCCTCGGAGGCCCTGCTCTACGCGCTGGTGCACGACCACCAGCCCTACGCCCAGCACCTGCTGACTAAGTTCCCCCAGAGCGCCCTGGCCGTGCCCAGCCAAAGCTTCAGCTGCTGCCAGTCCTCGGCCCCACACCTGGCCATGGCCGTCCGCTACAACCGGGTCCGCGTCCTCTTCCGAATCCTCAAGGCCATCCAAGCCTTCCCGCCGAGTGACAGAATCGGCCACCTGGACCGCCGGGGCTGCAGCCGCGTGGAGGGCGGCAAGACAGCCTTGCATGTGGCCTGCGAACTGGTGCGACCCGAGTGCTTGCTCCTGCTGCTCGGGCACGGCGCATCGCCCTGCTTGCAGGACAGTGCCGGGAATACCCCCCTCGACACCTTGCTGCAGCAGATTTCCCACACGCCGGCAGTTAACACGCGTGCCAAGCTCCTCTGCCTCGCCTGCCTCTTCTTCTTTGTGCCTCAGGACCTCCAGTTCTCAATGAAGCAGCAACTGTTGGACAACCGGCAGCGGTGGCAGGACCTCCTGGGGGAGAACAGGTTCCAGTGCCTGCTGGGCTTAGCTCCCCCGTCACTGTTTGTCGGAGCCATGCGTGTCTTGATCAGGACCATTTCACCTGAGCATTTCCCAGAGGCTCTGGACAATCTGCCTCTGCCTCAGTTTCTAAAGCCTTTGGACTTGAAACTGGAGAGCTAGAGGGGTGGTATGAGAGTCTCCTGCTCACCTGACAGAAATAGACTGTTGTTCTAAAAATGTATTGGTATACAAAGCTGCTAATGCGGCAGCCAAGTATCCATTTTAATTAGAACTGTATTTTTTAAAAGAATTGTATCTGGCACTTTACAATATATTTTATTTAAAGATCCTTGTGGTGAGGTGGTCTGCACTGCATTTTATAAAAACATTCTATGGCATGTAAAAATGAGGGTATGTGGGAGAATATATTTGTAAATACATCTGAATAAACCAGTGGCAGATGTGATCAAAAGACAAATTGAGCGACTGAAAACTCTGAAGTGGCATGTGCCTTGGGAAAGCATATGCGGGGTGGGGGAGTATCTTTTCGTTAGGATTTCCCTGTTACATAAGTGTCGCGGTCCTGGAACAGGATGACTCCTTTTTTACAGCTCTCCTAATACATCTTGGCAGGGATGCAGGGTTTTTTTAAAGGCACAGATGAAAACTTCCTCATCTTGTACACAAGACCAAAGAGAAGCCAGATACTATTAAAACTTCCCTAAATAAGGCTGGCAGGGATGTGCAGCTGAACAAAATATGTTTTAAAATATGCATAAATAACAGTTGGTTTCCTTGCGAAGTTCTCTCTGTTCCCCTTGGTGAGCCACGGTACTTGTTGTCGGGCAGAGGAGAGCCTGAGTACACACGTTGCTCTGGCCAAAAATGTTCCTGCCCTGGCAGGAGGCAGGAATGGACCCTGCAGCCACTCTGCGTGATTGCTGCAGGGTGAGGAGGGAAGCACAGAGCAGGAGGGCCAGCTTCCTCATGCCTTCCCTCTGCTATGCCCAGAGGCATTTATGTAGGTATGGCAATGGCCCAGGTCCCTAGAGCAGCTTTTTTCAGTGGATTCCGGCCCCTGCACTGCCAGTCCCCAGCAGGATGTGATGGCTTAGGTTCAGCTGAGAGAGCTGTGGCAGTCTTGGTGTCCACTCTGGGTACCAGAGGAGTAGCTATGATATCTGGCCTTCCCCCAACCATCCCTTCTGAGATGCTCCAAGGTACATAAAACATCTTCACAGCTGCTCCAGATCAAAAAGCCCTTTACGGGTAATGTCCTGCCTCCAACACTTGTGTTTAGACACATCGAAGTCCTGAGCAAAGGGTTCTTTGCTCTGCAACCTTTACTCTACAGCATTGTGGGCAATCACACTGTGACAGCCCTGTAAAACTGGCACTGCCCCTGCCTGCTCTGCAGGGAGCGAGCTGCGCCGGCTCCACCAGCATTGCAATGATAGAAATCTCCTAGGCCACAGCGCTGCAGCTTTGTGTCTGTTGTTGGAAGGTGTCAGTGAAACTGCAGGGTTTTGTTTCAGTGCTTAAAGTTGTAGCCAGGGAGTTGTTTGCCACTTGAACTATTTCAGCACTGTTGTTCCCTTTGGGGTCATCAAGGAACTGATGTGCTCAGAGAGAAGAGGCCATGTTCAAGGCACAGATTTCTTTATTCGTGAATTAATTTTGGTTAGGAAAAAAACCACAGAATGAGGCACTATAAGCTGTTCATGCTTCAGCAGAACAGAGTGGTATTTCATCTAAAATAATCTCCATACTGCATGCACAATAAAAGATAAGCCATACTTCTGAAATTTGAGATGCAACAGAAAGATTGCTATTCTTAGACTGCTGGCACCAAAAATGTTTCCTAGAAAAGCAAATGTTCCTTTTTCCCAAGAAACCAAGCTGATATGTGCTCAAACTAATTACCATGGGAAATTTAGGTCCCTTGCTAGAAAGCATAGAACAACTCTAACTGTTCTCTTCAGTTACCTTGTTGATAATGAAAATACAGAAATCCAAAGAACTAACCCCTCGCTTAGCCGCTTAATAAAAAAATTTTGAAAAGCTATGTTGCTAAATTCTTTATTTGACTACACATTCCCCATTGCTTCTGTAATAATGTGTGTGGAGGCATCTTCCAAAAACAGATGAGAAGTAAAGCAGTCAGGTCTAACTTGCACATGGAAAAGTGTCTTGAGGTGGGGGAAGAGACAGAGCTGGGGGTGCGAGGAAAGGATTATCAGCCTTGCTGACAAAGACATAATGAGATTCAGCAGTGGGGAGTTGGTCAGTTGAACCGAGCGCTGGAAGACGCTCCAGCTCCCAAGCTGTGAGGGTAATTACACATTGGAACAGCATGACAGGCTGGGCAGGACATCCTACACCTTAAGATAAGCCCGTTAACAGAACAATAATTCAAGGCCAAAGCTGCCCCTGTGATTCCCTACAGCCCTCCCACCAGCTCTCGGGTAATTCACTTTAACAAACAGAAAGGGTCCCCTCAGTATGTTGTGATGGGTCCAAAGTCAGCTAACTGCTGTGCCCCTCCTGTTATTCTAGCACAGAAGTCAAGCCTGTTGCTGAGCCCGTGCTGGGATCACTCTGCTGAAGGTCACCGACAGACCTTGCTACATGTGGCTCATAGATGTGTCTGGAATGCTTAATCTGGAGAGGCTGAGAGGAACTGTGGGCAAACTACAGTGGTGACTACACAGATCACTCACCCAACTGGGTCCAGGCTTGTTTTCCAAACAGAGTCACAGCTTGGAAAAAGGCTGGGGCTTCTCGGCTTTGGAAACAGAAGTCCTTTGTTTATAGACCAAGCAATAGTGGCATCAGCTTTCCTCAGACTGACTTGCCAGCATGTCTCTGTCCTCTGCCACCTTTGGAGCACAGTGGAGTGCAGGCTCCACAGCCTGTTCAGTTCTCCGTCTCTTGGTGAAGGCTGCCAGCGAAAATGCCAATTAGTGCCAGTTACAACACCATTGACAAGCTTAGTAAAGCAAACACAGACAGTCATTATGTCTCTGCAGAAGTCGCCAGTGCTAGTCAGGGAGCTGGCCACAAAGGTGTGGGAAAGAAGATTCACCAAGTCCTAACACCATGAGAGCACAGGGGTAAGGATATATACGTAAAAGCTTCTGTCTGACCTGCACAGGTTAATCTAGTCACACAAGGCGAATTACTCGTCTGTACGAAATGCTTTCAAAAGCATATAAGGCAGTATATAGAGCCAGCATTCCTGAAAAGCTTAGTTACAGCCAGTTCCTCTAAAAGGCTACTTTCTATCATGAAACAGTGATGAAATGTAATAAATACTTCCCATGTGTTGCTCAAGCACTTTCAAAACAAAATATTCCTACACTACCCACCTTTTAGTACAAAGTGGGTTTATATGTTGTGACAGGTAAAAAAGGCCTGAAACACTTTCATTCAGAAAGCAAGGGGAGAGGGTAACTACTGTGTTACTTTTATATTTGACTCTTTGCAATTGACTCCTCTCTGCAGCTCCCTTAAATATTTCAGGAATTACAAAGTTTAGCCTGTCTAGAGTCTGCTGAAGGAGCTGAAGTCTACTGTAATTTTGAGTAACTCATTTAAAAGATGGATTTAGGATCTTTAAGTCTTCTTTTACCCAAAATATTGAGTAGTTAAAGTATTTAAATTGTTGCGAACACAAAACTAGGTGGTTTAAATAGTCTAAAAAAATCCCTTACTACAACATTTGTCTCAGTCTTGCTCTCTGACGTACTGTCCTGTCATAAAAGCTGCATCCTTGTTCTTGCCATGGTCACAGCCTGGTACGAGCATTGCCAGGGCACCTTAAATTTAGTGGAAGAAGCAGATATTAAGTACACCTGAAAATCGCTCCCTTCATGAATATGCATAGATTTGGAATATCAAGCCTAGCATCAGTTTAACACTCAGCACCGCACAAAGAATATCTGCTGCAAGTAAGTAAAGCTTTCACACAGCTTCAGAGGGAGAGGACGAGGACTGTTAATGAACAGGCTCCATGTGGACAAGTCTTGCAAATTAAACCAAACAGGCAGGCATAAAGCAAAGGAGAAGAGGAAGCAGGAAACCACCAAGAGCACGACCTGCCAGGGGAGGAAGCCTTGGCTACAGGTATGACTGCAGTTACAGGCTGGTTTAAAATGAAGTTGAAAACAGCAAGGACAAAGATCCAGCACAGAGGGATGGAAAGACAGAGACTAGAAACAGGCCAGGGTGCCAGGTTTGTTTCCTAATCCCTATTTGTCCTATGTCTGGTGTTCAAGTCGTACGGGTTTTTGACTTGCAATATAACAAATCTATTGACATCAGCAGATCATTGTGCATTGCATCACCCCGTCTTCAGATCGATGTTCTCAACTAGACAAACAAAGCACCCATGCCATGTGCTTAATATTTAAACAGCACTGTAAATCCTTGCAAACCAACTTTTGTAACACCTATGTTAATAACAGTACTTCCATCACTGGTTGGTGTCAGCAGCTGTCTGAGGTTAGATCACCATTACTTCCTAGCCTGGCCTCTCCTCCACCTACAATGTGTGAAAAAGAAACTCTGCCTATTACTTGCTCAGACCACATCAAACTGACCTGTATTATCACACACAAGAATCACATCTATGGTGTTGCAAGGCTGCTGCTTGCACTGATTTACTCCTGCTCTTTTCCACCAAGCAGGTACACATGCATGTGTAGCACAAGAACGGAAGGAGCAGAACTCTCTTGCAAAACATAACTCATCAGTCATAGCAGAAAACAGAAATACAGTTTGCAAAGACATCAGAGATCCCTCACTGCTGCTAAAAGAAATGGATCCAAGTTCAGCTGGGATAAAAGGGTTCCCCCTACTCGCCCTGATGACCTCTGAAAGGAATGGTATCTCTTTGCCCAGTAGTTTACCTGATAAACGGAAAGACCACATAAATTACAAAGCAAATCTTTACAAGCCTCAAATGATGAGAAACTCATCACGTTTAGGAATTATTGCTAAAGTCAGAAGAGTCTAGTCATCTAGTCTAAATTGTGTATGACACAGGTCAGCAGTTCCCATGTTGGGCCTGTCACATCTGGTTGATTTGCAGCATCTGCTTTAAGTCCAACTTTGTTTTATAGATTTTTAAACAGTGGAGCATCCAAGACTCTCTGAGGAACTTGTGGCTGAGTCAAGCAAAGGCCCCATCCAGATCACCTCAATCTCTCGTCTGTCCCTAAACCACAAAACATCCTCTGCCATCAACCCTGCCTCCTTCTTCTGTAGGAAAAATTAATCACTTCCTAATGCAAATGCGAGAATTGACCAGAATGGATCTGAGTCAGCAAGGAGGGAGGCAGAGACCCACTTCAGAGAAGCAGGGAAGGCAGAAAGGGGCTTTGATCTGTCCCACGCTTGGGCTTCAGCTCTGCGAGCAAGGTTTCAGCAAGAGTCTGAGCCAGTAAGTCAGGGCCCTGGGTGAGGTCCAGTCACACCAGCCATTGTAAGGTTACGTTCCCTGTACTACAAGTCTAATGGGAAACACAGTGCAAACCAACCCTTCTCCTTCAGGAAAGCATATTAGGCCCAAAAAGTTCAATTCCCAAATTCAGGCCTGATGCAACCCATTCTGAGCCATGGCAAGACACCTGCATGCCCGGGATATGAGGGGAGACCATGGGCCAGCCTCCCCGTCCCTGCACTCCCCACCTAAGGCAAACACAAGGGCAGGAAGCTCCACGGCTCTCAACAGGGAGGCGAGCAAGGCATCAGGGCCAGCCAAGCCCTTCCCTTAGGCTCCTCCGTGGAAAGCAATGGAAGGAGGCCAAGGGAAGAGAGAGAGGCTTCCAGGCAGAAAGCACTTGGCTGCACGCCTCAGCCAGGACAGGGAGCAGCTTCCAGCTCCGAGGAGGACAGCATCCTCCCTGCCGCCTGGCTCCACGATTCCTGCCCCACTTGCCACCAGCACCACAGCTCCTCTCCCACAGCCTCACGGCTTTGAGGGCAAATTGCCTGTCCTCCTACCTCCTGCTCACACACCAGTGATCAGGCAGTGTCCACAGACCCGGACTCTGTTTGGAAGACTGGGCAGCCCCATCTTCTCTCTCAGCCAGCAAAGCTCCTCGGCCCAAAATTGTCCCTCCACTCCTTTGTTCCAGCCCCAGTGGTAATTACTGTTTTGATGTAAGGGTGGTTTTTTGGCATCATGCTCTTAATATTCAGGCTTTATTTTATAATCATTAGGGTTCTTCTTTTTAATGGCACAAGTAAATTATAGTAAACACATTATACTACATCACATTCATATTTTTAATGTGGTGTCATTTCCCTGACAATGTTTGAGGTAGCATTTTAGAGCAAAGCCTAAAAGGGTAAGTAATTTCTAACTCACAGTAAGAGAGAATCAAGTCCCTTGAGGAGCTGAGTTTTTGAACATCCTTTCCTCCAAAACCATCTGCTAGTGCTCTCCTGCTCTCTCCCACTCCTGCAATAAGGAAAGCTATTGATGGTTAGTGACTCAAAGTGACAAGACAGAAGGATGCAGACTCTCAGACTGATTTCAGTCCTTTGTTAATGACATGCACAGACAGGGCTACAGCCAAAGGCAGGCTGGACAAAAGTCTTGAACTAGTAATGGAGGTGACCTGAGTAACTGCTTATCCACCGCTTCTGCAAGGAGAGGGGCACATTGCTTCTTTCACTTATAACACATTTGCAGGCTTCCCTCAGGTTTGCCTGCTCCTTCAGATGGCCAAGGTTTGACTCAGCTTTGCTGCCATGTCATCTTCCCTGCCAGTAGCAGCACCAGGGCTGTGGTTAGACTGAGAACGTCCTGGCAGAGAACCGCCTTCTGAGACAGCCCTGAGGTAAGAGCTGCTGGAAGGGCAGACCAGGTGAGTCACTCACTGAGTCACTCAGCAGGTAGAATATTTTGAAGGATAAAACCAGATCATTTCCTTCAAAATGAAATGCCAGCTGCACAGCTAAAGTAGTGCACGTATCACCCAGGTTGCCTTCACTATGGAGAACACTGGCTGTGCTGTCGGAGCTCTGTACAACGTGCTGACCAGAGATGGCCAGT